AAAGCACAGCAAATTCTAATTTACTAAAATAAAAAAAATGCAGTCTATTCAGAAATGCGATCTTTCTTATGGGGGAATGACAGAGACTTTTACGGGAATATTAGAAAAAATAGATCACAAACTCCTGGTTTACATTGTCATAGCTATCCAGCTTTTATGCCACAAGAGTAATAGTCAAGGTTTGTGTGCAACACAAAGCCAGAAAATGAATGCATCAGGTCTCTACACTGCATGTCAAAGTGGAAAGCAAACTTCTGAGCTCAGATGTCATTTGGAAATTCTGAGGCCCTGAAGGTTATGATAACCCTTATCTTCACACACGTCTATTTTTCTTATTCTCTTGTTAAGATCTGTGAAGTGTAATTACATTCCCTTTCCTTGATTAGAATGCTTTAATGTTAGACAAATTATTTTAGCATTGTAAATTCTGAACTTCGGATAATATTTGACAGATATTTAGACATTAGTGTTTTTCATATTGTAAGAATAAACATGTCACACAAGCCAGGTTTTTCCAGCCTTATTATTATGACAGTTCATTTTACATGCACAAAACAACACTAAAAATTGAAGTCCCAGCGAAGATATTTATAGAAATTGTATTATTTTATATCTGCAATATTACAAAGGCAGGCATAAAAGCACATTCCTTTAACAAAAAAGACTGAGGCAGGGGATGGAAGGATGGATGAACAGAGGAGTGTGAATATGATTATGTATGGTCTTCAGTGACTAGTCCAGCAAAAACCCTCACACATTTTGGGTTTGTCGTTTTTAACTACAAGAAGTTACTTAAACTTTTCCTAAAATTTAAGGCATTGTTCTCAGTCGATCCTAAGTATCTAGCATGACCATGGCCTCTACTAGGGACAAGTTTTAGGTTGCTCTGGGTGGTGTCGAAGTGTTCACACATGGCCGATTTGGGACTGTCAGCTCTGCTGTAGCTGAAGATGGAAGATATCATTGTAGGTAAAGCTATGGTGACAGCATCAACTGGAGATACTTTTGGCAGAGCTCACAGGAGGCGATGTCAGTACAATTCATCACAGTTGTGTTTCAACTGCTTTTGAAAGCTGTTCCGAAGTTTCGCATATGTATCCCTATTCCCTTAGACTGGAGTATTTTCCTTCTAGCTGTACACATGCATTCCCTGACACACATTTCTTCTAGAAAACATCTCACTCAAACTGGTCCTATAATGTAAATGAGGTTGACTGATCAAACGTGAAGCTCCCTGATCACTGAGGAAAAGACAACTAGTTTATGGAAGTACCTCTAGGATTTCCCAGATTGGAAATTTCTACCCTAACACTGAAGACCAACTTTCTCATACGGGAGGAGGGGTATTCATACTATTTTTCTACTTTGCATACAGACTACAAGAAAGTTTTTAAAAAGTGCTAGAATTGTAGGCACATTTTAGCTGTAAGAACTAATTCAGAACTAAATACATGCTTGAAAATACTGTTTTCTCTATCTTGAAGCCAATTTAGTCCATTAGACCATAATCTACCTTCTTAATATTTCCTACACCTTTTCTTCATCTACATATGACTATCAGAATCCTCTGAATTTCAATTCGTTACATCTTCTACAACTCAAGACAACTCTGACTTTTCAGAATTTACTTTAGCCATCAGTCTTTTCTCCCTGCTCCTTCCATACAGCCCTCAACATCTATCTGTCAGTAGTAAACTCTTTTCTTACTCCCAAATTTTGTGGGCAGCTCTCTGTTCTAAGCCTAGTCCACTGTTCTCTTGTTCTCCCCCCTCCCCACTATCACTTTTATTTTATCTGTTCTTTTTAATTTTGTTATTTAGTTTCCAGATCTCAGATAACTCCATAGGACTACAATAGTGAACAGCATAATGCCCTTCTTTTAAGCATATACCCCTTTTCAGTGCAACCTGGAATTCCTTATCAGTTCACCTAAGCATCCTGTCCGGCATGCATGCGGTAAGCAGGGCATTTTAGACAGTATCCAAATTAAAAAGGGCTGAGTGGAAAGCCACCGAACTCAGCTGGTAGGGAAACAGAAAATGGGACTGGTTCTAAAACCTTATCGCTTCTCTAAGAGTATAATCAAGTCTGCAAATACTTCCCTTCACTAGTAAGAAAAAGTGAAACCTTGCTTGACAGTGCAGGGGATACACATTTAATTCTCAGTCATGCCAGGAGAGATTATGGGTTGTGATTTCTGCTTGGCAGAAATCTTGAGCATTTCTTTGGCGTGAAATATACAATGGTAGGAAAGTAAGCATTCTGTAAGTTAAGCATCATAAACTAAGTTTCTAGAGGCACTATTCCGAAGGCTAAAGGGCTCTCTCTAAAGCTTATCTGATTCACAGAAGCATTAAGAGTTATACAAGGCTGTCCTAAGAACCATGCTTAGGGACAAACAACCATAAAACTGTTCATCTAATAGCGTTCTTTGAGCCCTCAAGGAAGAAAGAGTTGATCACAGTATACAGTTGTCTTCAGCAAAATAGCTTATCTGCACCAAAACTGGGTTATACATACATAAAAGCTACGAGTGGTAAGGAATGGAAGGAAAAACAAAGATTTTTAAAAAATAATTAGCAATATGTAACCGGAAAGTATGACTGACCATAATAATCATACTCACGCTGTCAGTCTCTAAGTCTTGAAGACTAAACACTTTTCTGGATAATATTCTCCAACCAAACAGAAGTTACTTGGATCAATATAAGGTTAAATGAGTTAAATTTAATACACTATGATATACAGAAAGTCATACTGAATTATCTAATGACTTCTCATCACCATATAATTTAATAAACTACTAGTGACTAACAAGTTGAGCCATACTTCCATCAGGGAATCTTACAAATCCGATTTAGCAGAAATTGTAGATAATGTATCAACATATATGTATTATCATGACCATTCTCTTTTAATCATAGGACAACTTTATTCCTGAGTTTAACATTTAGGAAAACCCTCAGTATTCCATGGCAATTATATAATTAATATAAATATGATCTTTCAAAGTGCAATCCTCCTGAGTACTTTTTTGTTGTAAGTTATACATTCAGTGTAGACATGTCCCTTAAATGCTTCTAGCTTTCATTTGACAATGAAGCCCATTTCCTACTTCCTATTTTCTCTGAAGATAAAAACAATCATCACAATATAGCGAAAGAAAAAGGTTTACAAGGCTCCCCCAAATTATTATGTAACTCATACATGCAAGTACCGTCCAGTACGTTCTAGGGAGCAGGAAGCTGGGAGAAAATAAAAACTTCCTCGTTTTAGTTATAGAGGCATACAGTCACAGTGTGGGTGAATGGGAGGTGATGAGTGGATAGAATAAAATATTCTAAGTGTTGAAGACTTTTTGCCTACATATTCCTCCCAGCTTTTACTGAAGGTGTCTACACAGCATGTTCATTTTTACCACCGAGTTTGCAGTACAACTTCCTTGGAAGTTGGGCATTGGATAAAAACTAAAGAAATATGATCTCTACTTTCTTTTCAAAACAGCATTTGACATTTCATTGCCAGGTACAGGATAAGGTGAAAGCTCAAAGAGCTGAGATTTCAGAATTTTAAAAGAACAAAACTCCAAAATATACACAATGTAGAAAACAAAGATGCCTAAAAAAAAATTCGTGTGATCACAGGATATATGATATCACTACCTTGTTTTTCTCAGATTCTAAGCTAAGTCTAAGCTCTTTGAATCAATTCTTGTCCGCACAACAGCTTTGCATGGTAAAATAGCTGCATACATTTCAAGTATTTGCATGTATCTGTGGAATAACCTGCACACAATATGTAGCTGCATGACATATGGATTAGAATGAAGATACGGTATTGGAAGATGGATTTTCTTGTTAAACATGTGACAAATTTGCAGCAAGGTCACCTATTACTACAGAGAATTTCAGAACTATGAGTGATTTGGAGGAGCTCCTTCCTCAACAGTAGAAATATATTTCCCTTTTCAACTCATGCAAGTGAGGGAAAAGAAGGAAGGAAATGAAGATGAGGAGAACTACATGTGGTTTTAATTATTTTTGTTCAGATCTTGTACAACTACTTTTGGATTCTAAACTTTACTTACTTCAGTGCAATGACAGTGTTTTTTTCACACATAATATAAATGAGCTCCTAGCTACCCAGTGACTATCTTGCATGACAGGTGGACTGGAAATTACTGTAACCTTCCAACTCCTTTTATTGATCAGCAGATTGATAGCTTTCCATTTCAGATTGCATTGGAACTTTTAGGACCTGCATCAGCTAATGATTAAAAAACATGTCATCCATAACTCAGTGTTGGTCAACCCATGTAAACAAAGAAGGAAACTTCTTGTTAACAGAAGGTGCCTGTTAGTACATCAGGATGTACTAACAATGCTGTCTTTTGAAGGCAGATCTGAAATATTTCCAGACCAAACTCTTATTGTAGATTTTATCATGCTCTACAAAATGCTATGCTGATGCTTGAAAATTAACAAGTGACGCTATGACTACTCTATGACTGTTTTATATACTTCATGCTTGAGCAAAAGATGGCTAGAAGTGTATCAATATTAACAGAATCAATCTTTTAATGAAAACAGCTTGAATTACAGTTCAGACAAAACAACAAAAAACAGAAAAATTACCTTTAACCACTTTTGTTTCATAGAGGAAGGTAGACAAAAGAGAGGAAGAAAAAAAAAGAAAATTTTAAAAGTCAGATATTTAAAAATATAAAACAGAGTAGGAAGGTTGTGAGCCAAATCTCGAAAGCACAGATTTAACTGGAATCTGAAATCAAAGAGTAAACAATGAGTCTTCAGTTCTGAAAGTAAAGCCCTTGGTAATACATACTAAATAAAATGTACTGTCACTCATAAATACCACATACGGAAACATGGAGCACCAGAATAGAGATGGCACAGCCATGCAAGGAAAAAAAATAATCTATTATTAAACTGATATTAAAAAGGTGATATATTAAAACGTACTCTTTTTTTAAACTCACTCACTTGTGACCAATCTCATGAGCAATGGTAAAAGCTGAACCTAGGCCAATGTCTTCGTTAATGCTGCAGCTCCTTTCAGGCTCACACATTCCAGCCACAGAGGCCAAGCCTGAATAAACAGAAGGAGACACAAAGGGTCATGCCAAGGTGTTTCAGTCTTAAAAGCCCTAGTTATAAATGCCTGGATTCTTTTTAATAACCTCTACGCACAGAAGGAGCAGTTGGCAAAAGGTTAACTTTCTAGTCATTTGCAAAATCACTAGGGGGAATTTCACATTGCCGGCTAGACATTAACATTTTTTGAACTCCAGTCAATGCTGGAAAACGTCTAGACTAGGGGTTAGATTTATAAATTTTACTTCTGGTAACTTGGGACCACCTAGTAACTTGAGCCAGGAGAGGGAATTCAAGAAAGCATTTCTATTTTAACATTCTTGAGCCTGAAGAAAGCAAAATGTATCCACATTATTTTTCTAAAGAAATCTGTTTAAGTTTAGTGGGTTCATAAAAACATACAAGCAACTTTTTTAGCTATGAAAAGTCCCACACGGTATGTTAAAAAAATTTTTAAAAACTCCAAAACTGAATGCATCAATGAAGAGAGAGGAGACATGTTAATAATAAGCATTCATTTCACCATTGAAGTCATTTCCATTTATCACCCATCATCTTCTGGAATTAAAACCTTATTGTATTACAAGCACTTTTAAAAACTTTCTTTACAGAGAGAAAGCTACTGGCATTTTCAGAATATGTCTCTTCCAAATCTTACACACTCTTCAGCAGCAAGTTATCACACAAGGTACTGCAGTCACGGTTTAGTGCCATCAGAGAAAGCTCTGAACATCAGATTTACTTAAAAGGTTGGACTCGATCTGGAAGGTCTCCTCCAATTGAATTGTTCTATGATTCTATGCATCTACTTAGTGTATTACTCCCTAAAGTTTCTTATCTGAAACAATCAGTAATCCTTTCTTAAAGGAAATTACCTGCTCAGTTAAATATACAATAACAAAAAAAAAAGATTGGAAAAACCATAACTTTGGTTGGGGATGGGAGGAATGAGGCAGGGAGAAGTGAAGAGAGAAATCATACTCTTTATAAGAGTAGTCACTGCAGATTACTCTGCTTGGAGTAACAGTAAGCAAGGAGTAAGACGACAAGTGCTTCCTGTGTCCACAGTAGCAAATAATTTGGAGCTGCAGGAGCGGGTCAGCAGAGTGAAGCACTGAGACTCCTCACATATCTTTGTATGTGGGTTGGGCACTACTTCACAGTAGTGTAACCCTGCAAGTTGAACATATTCACCACACGTGTGGTTCAAAGCGTTCTAAAGGGAAAAAAAAATTATAGAATATCATGACAATACAGCCCATGTAGTGATTTCGAACCTAACAATTCCCTATAGAGCATTTGAGTGGGTATGTGTTCTGACTGTTTTGTCCAAAACAAGCCTAGTTTTCTTAGTTCTCTCCAAAACAAACCTGGTTTTCTTAGTTTTCCCCACTATCCAGCTACTATGCCGAGTAGTTCCTCTGAATAACCAAACTGACATAGACAAAATGTGACAATGTGTGTCTGTAGAATTTGCATCAAAACAATGCTACTCCTATAAATAAACTATCAGTGTAGACACACCCATTAAGGACAGCATAAAACACCAGAAGAAAAAAAGATTATGAATTGAGAAAAATCTGTATACTTTTTGCCATGTGCAACCAGTAGAAAATACAGTAATTACTGTATTATGCTATTCTAATTGAGTAGGAATTTCTGAGGACAATATGGCAATACTTCTATACAAATTGTGATGTTCACCTGCAGTGTCCACCACAGTCATCTCCATCTTCAAATCTTATAACTGAGAATTTACTTCCATGATTTAGAGGATGAGATCAGTAACTCCATCCCACACTTGCAGAAAGTGACAAAGATCAAGTCAAGAACTCAGCCTGTGACTCAGATTTAAAAAGGAGTTGCCCTTCACTAGAGCCAAAGACATCTGAGGTCCACCTTTTCTAAGAGGTTACGTGAAAGATTCCCTGTCTTATGAAACTGGAATAGGAAGAGAGATGCCTATGTCACACAAACCCATCCTCAACTTCTCTTTCCTCCTAGAATACGAATGATTCAGGTTTCTTTCAACCTGTTCAGCCCTCTCTGAGACTTCTGTTCACAGACTTCTTAAACATATGCTTAATTTTAGTTACTGAAGGTCAGTGGGACTTAGCCATATTAAATGACTTGCAGAAGAGAGCCACGGGGCCTTGTCTCTTCTCCAATTCAATGCCTATAATGCAAATACATTGTCATGGTTGTGTTGCCAAGGGTCCTGTAATGCTAAGTTGGAACTGACACCATATGTCTTTTTTTTTTTCTATATATCAAGCCTTTTGTTTAAGAAAACATTTGCCAAAATCTATCCTCTGTTATGAGGGATTCAAGTGAAGCAGAATTTTCCTTTATGCCAAACTCTGATATAGCAAGAGCTAGTACACTAATGATCTATATTAAAAATACCATGTAAAATATCAAATACTTCATGCGTGAATGCACATCCTTTCAAACTTTCTGCTTTTAACACTTGTAAAGACAATTCTATGGCACCAATACCGACAGTGTCTCCAGTTACACCTAGAAATTCATCAGCATCATTTGCCTTTTACTAAAACCTGCTGTGGACATTATTTATATTTACAGCAGGGAAAATTCTGGCACCCTTTGCCAGGTAAACAACATCCCTGTGACAGGAGTGCTATGCTGACTTGAGCATGACTTGTAGAAAAATTAACATAAGTTAAAGCTATCAAATCATACAGTAATACAGGGAAAGACAAAGCAAATATAATTATGAGCTCTGACTGAGAAAAGTGTATATATATATAGCATATATATATAAATAGCATAGTATATATTAATAGTAGGAACTAGCCAAATTAGAATTGTATCTAATCATTTCTGATAAAGAGAGATGCAAATTGAAAGGATGTAAGTTCAAAAAATAAAATCTAAATAAATGTTACATTAGTCTTTGAAAAATGTTTCTTTCTTATATTAAAGCAGTATTAACAGTAATAACTATGCTATCGTAATTAAACTCTGGTGACAAATTTAGCTATGGAGAGAACAGCTCTCCATACTCCACCTAAGGTTGCTATGTGTGCTTCTCCATCATCAAAGCATTGTTTTCAAGAGTTTCAATGTCACTGTAGTTTATATCACTGTGGTATTTTTCTCTAAGTCTGTGAAAGGAACCGTCTGAGGCTGTACTCCCTGTGTACAGCACAGCAACAATGTGAACATGGAAGTCTGCTTCTCTTGTGTTTTTTTTGTTCGGTTGGTTTTTTACTTGTATTGTTTTGCTAGATCATGAAGCCAGGTTAAATGGAAATAATCAGCAAGTTCTCCTCTGTAGTAAGTTTCAGTCATCTGCTAGGTTTTATCAGAACTGGTTTTATCAGAACTACAGCCACCAGAGAAGAAATACACAGCAGTAGCTCACTTAAACTTCCAGCAATGTATCAAAGCTGAAACCCACCTAGCCTATCTTTTTTGAACTTTTATTGTTCATGCTTATAAAACTGCAGAATTTTTAAAGCATAAGCTTGAAAAGATCTAATCAGTCAATAAATCAATAGCTGAGTATGAAGCAAGGAAATAGCAAATACAAGCTGAAATTTCTCTGTATTATCTTACCCAGTGTTCCACAAGGCTTGTTTTTGTAAGTGCAGATATCGTATCTGTTAAAGAGAAAAAAAGTTGACAAAATATGTCAGAGAAATTTGTAAGATATTTTGTACATTTATCACATAACTGCATCGTAGTTCAAGTTGTCAGACCGCAATCAGCTTAATTATGTGCAGCCAGCTGGTGTCGGCATTTTCTACACTCTGGTGTAAACCGCAAGCTGCAGTACACTCACAGCCGCTGGCCTCAAGCCAGTGGGACACCTGCCAGTAAGAAAAAAATGGTTAAAGTGGATCTTTGTAATCACCAGCCTCATAAAGCAGTCTACCATGCTGTTATGAAGTTAGAGTAGCATGTCTGTAGACCACTACCAACTCGAAACTCTTTAACTTTTGCTTTCTGATCATAACTGGAATCCTCTTACAGTCTCATGCTTATCAACTAAACAATGTTCATCGTAACTCCTACTACTTAAACTCTGATTCTAATTAAAAACTGTAACTCTCAATTATTACATCAACAATTATGCGTTTTTTACAAAAAACAAATCCTTGGAACTGCCACCACAGTCCCCTTCTCGTTACCTCCCAATGATTATATGTCTTAGGAGTATACGATAACAAACTGAAATGAAAAACATTTTTGCAAAAAAAGCTAAATAATGCTTTCAAATACAGAAGCTCAACGTATTTTTGTGCAGTTTACATTTAAGTATTTGGGGCTGGAAATGGTATTAAAATGTTTTCTGCAGCATAATAGTTAATAACAGCAGCGGTCATGCAGCAGTCAATCATTAAACACACCTTCAAGTTTTGAATCTGATGATAAGGTTAGTGACAGGGGAACACTGCTACAATGTCTTTGATTTTCAAGGATTTATACTGATTTCCTTCCACACATTTCAAAACTAATTTCTATTTTTATTAACGGTAAGCAAAAGCAAAGATTAAAAGATACCATCTTTGTGCTTTAATTTTTAACACAAATAGTTACTAATTTCAGGCCAACAGACATCTCTGTTAAAATAACCTAAGGAATGTTATCATGTAGGAGTATGATCATGAGATATATACCTTTCATTGCCAGAAGAGTTAAGGTCTGTCTGTAAGCCAAATCCATGGACAAAATAACAAAGCTCAGGATTTGGAACAAATCCAGTAAACTCTCTATACGTGTAGACTGCTGTGACCACATGGAATTCCTGCAATTTTTAAAAGCACTGAGTGTGGAGAAGTTTCAGGGATTAAACTCAAACTTCAAACTCAGATGTTCATATGCACTGATCTCATCAAGGCAGCTCAAACTCTACCATTCTAGACACATGAGCTACTCACTGATCTTCCATTTGCTGTTTGGAGATGGGGAGGCAGAAAAATCAGCACTCTTACATAAAATGTGTTGGAATATAATGACATTTTGTATGTCACAAAGCTTTAAGATGACACAGAGAGAAAGCTTTTTACTGAGTGTTTCCTGCCTTTACATCCTTAAGGAAACAAACTTCTTATTTCTACATTCAGGACAAAGCCTGAACCCAATGTTATTGAAGTTCATGCAAAATTATTCCTCAAAGAAAGCAGACAGGGCACAGGCTTACTTAATGAGAAAAGTCAAAATTTTTAAAATGTAGTTTAGAACTGAACAGAAGGAAGTTTGTGCAACATACAGGAAGTACTGATCTTCTAATTTTTTTTTAGTATCTAGTGTTAACAGAAAAAAAAATAAACCCAAACACACTAAAACAACTAACGGCATACATCCTTAGATAAAACAGATGTTTAAGAAGAAAGTCAGTTGCACTAAACTTAAGTAAAATGCTGTCACTGAGTTTAGCAAATATGAAAATGTGCCCTTATGGGCTGAATCTGCTTACTCTCAAACTAGTATGAATCTGAAGTTACACCTCACTTTCAGTTCAATTTCACAAGGAACTGTGATAGCAGATAAATATATGAATTAAGTCCCTTGTTGCTGTTATATTTTTGAAAAATAAAGCCCATAGTATCCTTCTGTTTATGCTGGGTAGCAAGTATTCTTCATTATGCATAGGCTAGCATGTGTAATAAAACACCGTGACAATGGAAGTTAAATTAGAAAATAAAACTAAGGAAAACATAATGTTACTTTCCAATATAGCAGTTGGTTTTGCAAGAACATATTCAGGTAGTGATGTATCCTAATTATAGCTTAATTAAATATTCAAATTTTATATACGATTTATTTCCTATATGGAGCATTCATACACTATCTTTACACCTCAGTTTAATATAAAAAGAACTCGTGTGTTTTCAATGTTCTATGACTTACATTACCTACATCATCTTCAGGCTCCATATTTTTCTTTTTTTTTTTCCTTTCAAATGGATGTTTTCTGCTCATGATTTGCTTGAAAACAGTTTGGTACATTTTTATGTATGAAACTGCTTGATGCCATCATTTGCTTCTTTATGCAATTCAACTAGATTAGCCTAACTTGTCTTTTTGACATTGCTTTCTGTAAGTTTATTTTGAATTTCCAAGGAATGCCTTTAATCCACAGATATTGAGTCCCAAAACATGTAAGACTACTGAGTCAACACCTGGCAGATAGTCATTTCAAGCCAAGAAACCCCTGAAATGATAAATCATCTAGATTACCTACTGAACCAACTAGATAACCAACTGAACAAACGAAACACACAAAAAAACACCCAAAACCAACAAAAAACCCACCACAATGGGCCTTAGTAAATACTTCAGGAGCTAGACACCCAAAACGTAAATTCTCAGGTCAGCAATTATCTCAACCAACCATTAAAACTGTAAAAATCACAAGAGTAAAGCAGCTTGCAACACATGAATATATCTTCTTCTTGATCCAGTGACAGAATGCGTTGAGTGCCATCACACAGAACTTCAGTGTAAGAACAGAGATACGCAGGCTGTAAAGAAACTCAGGACAAGATGTCAGCCTGACCATTTTGACACAGTCAAGGAAATCCTTTGCCCAAGTGGGAAGAGAAGACCATAAGCCTCCTGATAAAGTGGGCATGTATTTTCCAGAAATGTGCCAAGGCTGGGCAAGTAGAACGTGGAAAGAGGCATAAGGCAGGATTGTTGACAATCTCTCCATTTCCACTGTGAATGGATCAGAAGACATTTGATGAGGCAGATGGGGAAGAGGTCTGGGATTTCTGGGCACATGTGCAGGGCTGCTGAAAAGCTGCATCAGACAGATGTGAAGTTTTATCACAGAATCACAGAATGTCAGGGGTTGGAAGGGACCTCAAAAGATCATCTAGTCCAGCCCCCCTGTCAGAACTGGATCACCTACAGTAGGATGTTATGAAGCTGTCATTGATAATTTTGAATGACACAGCAGCCAGAAGGGAACTGCAGCGATAGACTTACTATCAGTTGAGCAGCATGGTCATGAACTGGAGCTGCAATAGGCTTCTGCCATGCCATAAATCAAACAGGAAGTGTCAGTGTGCCCTCCAAGGGCACTGAAAAAGGAAAAACTTCTGGTCCTTTTTGGTAGGATATGAGCATTTCCCATGCTAAAGTACACATATATACCACTCAATTAAAAAGTAAAAAGGACCACACTCCAGGACACTGAAATTCTGTTACCTGTATTACTAAATTGTTTTAGAAGTCCATCAAACCATTAAAAACAAAAAAATGTTCCTTGCACAGATTTGGCCCGTGACAACAACTAATCTCAAAGAAGTCCAAGAAAAGTTCAGAAGGTGGCCACACAAAGCTATGAACAGACAAACATATGAGGACACTGTTGTGAAGAAGTCAGCTTATTACTATAGACGCAAGAATTTCCTTGCCATTGGTCCTTAGTGCAAGAAAAAAGTTGCTGACATGTTTATTTAATTTATTAGTGTAAATGTAAGCTATGGACTATCTCTTGAAGAAGCCTCAGTTGTCTGCAACTCTGACTTGCAGAAAACTCCCTTTCCTTTGAAAATATGACGAGCAGTATGATGCTGATCATTTGATTAGGACATTTAAGTCAAATACACAAGAAAGATGAGTTCTCTGTAAATACTGTAAGCACTGTTGAACCTTGTCAGGTAAGTTATTTGCAGTTACAGCTAATCTAAGACACCTTAGGAGAAGAGAGACAGTTCTCTCCCATTTAGCCGTACAGTGTAGTGAAAGGAGAAAGGACTCTTCTCAATGCCTGCAACCGGCCAGCTTGCAGGTCCAGTGCTTGTAATTGTGCAGCTATGAAGTTCACACAGAGTTCTGTGTAAGCAAGTGTATTCACTTATGTAAAAGACAAACAGGTTTGAAGGCTAGAAAGCATCACAATGATTCAATCGCACCTTCACCCATCTCTACCATAAAATGGCAGTTTATTCCAGAAGCCACATAGGATTAAAAGCTGTTCTCTTAATGTTCCCACATTAAGAGTTGTTTTCAAGATAATTTGAGAATATCTGCAGTGAGTTATCTAGTTCATCTCCCTTTCTCTCCACAGCAGTCATTTATGAGTTGTTGCAGGGCTATTAGGACAGCATCGACTTACACCACCCCCGATAGATGCCCCAAGCTCTGTGGCTTAGGCAACTTCAAAGGCAGAGGTTGTATCTTAGTATTTTAATTTTTTTAAACACCTTTAGCACTTAGTTAATCTCTCTTCAGTCATAACAAAAATATGTTTCAGTGTTCATCTCAGGGATTTTATCAGCCAAGTTGAGTCCCTCTGGCCCTGTAGAAAACTTTTTCATCCCGAAATATTTTTTTTCTCATTTTCTTCTAAATCAGATGAATAAATTGAACTTCATCAGCATCACAGCACTACAGTATGGCCTTTATGTCACATTCCTTTGAGCTTCAGGGCTTTTTAAACTTTCTGAAAAGTCTGTATTATAATTCAAAAACTTCTTATAGCAGTATTAACAGTTGTAGATACAAAGGAAAATAAATTCTTACTTCTTATATTTATACATTCAAGGATAACATTGCCCTTTTCACCAGTTTGATTATGTGAAATGTCACACTAAAGGAATAAAGGCTCCATAAAACACTGTCATTACTACCTGTATGCTACTGG